ATATACGCACAGCAAAAAGTATCTAATATACCTAACACTACAGGATATGAATTATCAACCGCGAGTTGTTATTTGAAGACAATGAAAATTTAACAAACAATAGCCGAAATGATTTATGAAGGGTATCCCCTAAATTAACGATTAATCAGCAATATTTGTATTAAAGAATAAAATCTCACCAAAAATTCACTTATTAAAAATTATGGTACTTATTGATAATACGTTGAAAAATTAGATTTTTCTTCCAAAAGACAAAAATCAAAAAAATCTTCAGAACCTTTCAGCATTCATCGTTAGTCATCCATTCATCAACAATGCTGAAAAGGATGCAGTTCTACTCGCCAAACGCGCAATTTCTCATCCATAAACTTCTTTTTTCAAAATATAAATTTTCAAAATTAACTCATTTTCTTAATTTAAAAAACTTCTTTATTGTACACATGGAAATTGAAAATCGACTGCGCAGAAATGACATCACATAGTTGGAAAATGGTAACAGCAGTCACAGCTACGCAGACAAACAATCCCGATGCATATAACTGCTTAAATCTCAGCTTAAATTTCCAGCGTCAAAACGATTAGAATTTGTTTTTGTTTCCACTTTTTTCTCAATTCTCCAAATACGAAACAAACATACAAACAAGTGCATCCCTTCTATTATAACAGTAAGAATGAATTCCGTAATAAAAACGATAAATGCAGAATATTCAATCTTTGGTTTTTAAACACTGATTCATGATGGGTTAATAGTTTAAAAAGCAATTCAAAAGGGTAATTACAGGTTAACCAATCCAATATGCACAACAAAAATCTCTAATCAAACAAGAGGATTTTTTAAACTGGCAGGTACACACTTAAAAAAACAGTTCTTGTAAAAATTTGAAAAGAGCATTTCTTTCTTTTTTCATCTTCTGGAAAACCATTAATGCCGCCCCTTCCTCTCCCTTGGCAGCCTGAAACAAATTTAAATAAAAATTATAAGAAAAAAAAAAAGCCTACCTAAAAAAAAGATAATTTAAAGATTAGTCCATTCTAGTCCATCCATTATAGTACTGTACGCAACCACTATAAACACAAGTGTCCCAAACTGAAAGCATTCTGTTATCACTTCTGCTCTATTCTTCGTTACCACTAAAAGCCTTTTCGGTAAATTACCATCGAAACCTCCCTTCACTGGTGTGTTTCCATAGAAATGCTAATGAAAATAAAGCCAGTAACAACATCTCTTTGACGATCGTTCCAGGTATGCCACTAAAAAGTATGAAGAAAGAAAAAAAGAAACCAACAAATGCTATCTCACGCACACATCGATGACGAGCAATCACCGTGATGGGGATTCAAAAAAAAGCAAACTATGCAGGCCGATAGAATGCTTAACTTTCGAACGACAGAAGAAAAGCAACGCAAAAATAGTTCCCGCCACGAAATGCTGCAGACGGTAACTGTAGTTCACGCATATATTCCTTCGTCGTTACTTCTTTCGCGAAAAGTTTCGTTTTTTTTTTTTTCTTCAATGCGTTTTTTGTTGGTGGCCGCAGTGGTGGCTCAGTACGTTTCCCGATAGTTTTGGTATATATATGCTCCTTATTGGACTGCTCGCAATTAAGCGATTGCTCCATTTACCTTAAAACCTAAACCTTACAGTTCTTGTCATAAAATAATGTCGATTGAACTGACTAAAATTTTTCATTCTCTCTCGTCTTTTTTTTCTTTATTTTTATTTTGTTTTGTTTTGTTTTTGAGTGGTGCGTCATGAAATTATTCGTATGCCGTGTAGTATTTTCGAAGATTTAACCATGTACTCCACGTGTTCGCTACTACCAACTTAATGCTTTTAATTTAGTATGGAGTGAAATTCTTGTACAAGTTATCAAAAAATCTATACTACACATTATTAATATGATTAAAACGAGTAAAACATATAGTCATTTCTTCAATAATTTGCCTTTTAACAGTTAATTTCAGTATTGTTATTACGTGATAAGAACTGACTAATTTAACACCTCGTTTACTACATATCCATTAAAGTTTTCTCAGCGTTACTATTAATTACAGATTCAGTCAAAGATGTGCGCTGATAAGATTGTAATTGAGGGCAGCAATTATTAATTTACGGCAGGCCTAGATTGTATTTGTAGCAAGTTTTTTTTACTTTCCTGCTGCTGTGGAAATAGCGATAAATTTTATTGAACCGATTTCCTTTGTATCTGCTGATGTACTTGAAACTGTGATGATTGTTTGGCATTAGTGATATATATGTCGCTAAATTGCAGAAAACTGTTGGGGTTGCTTTTAAACCCCAGTCATTGTCATTTGTTTTCATCTGCTTGGATTGCCCTGGTGAATTAGTAATGAATTAGCAAAATGTGCCATTTTTATTTGTGAACTTACATTTTAGTTTTATTATGTTTACTTTTCTAATTTCGTTTTTTATTTGATAATTAATCTAGAAGGACCATGGTTTGCACTAAGTATTCTTTAAATTGATCATATTGTAACGAGACGTGGAAATCAACTAGTTTTTGTTTCATTATAAGCTTTTCCTAACAAGATTTTTCGGTTAGTTCAATAAAGAGCCCTCAGTTGTCCCGTTCAGAATGTTTTTCTTCAAAAATTCTGTTGTTGTTTTGTTTTAGAATTGCTTTATTAGGACTTGAGCTGGGGTAACCTGGATTTTTTTAATACAATTCTTCACGCTCTGATTTTAGTATGCTTTTGCCATGTTGTTTAATTCTTATGCGTTTTTATGTGCGTTAAAGTTTCATCATGATATCGTAGTAATAGTTGTTAATTAACTTTTTTTACAAATCATTTTTCCGACCTTGGTAAAGGTTTTATATGTTTTCATTTTGCATTTTTTTAGAAACAGTATCACGTTTGAATTATAGAAATACTTTTTCGCTTTGCTTAGTGGTTCATTTTTTCAGACTGCAGAATGTCATCTCGCGGACGTGACAAAACAGGTGGGAACACTGAACCTATGCCATTTGTCAGAAAATTTGGTGCAGCAGCTGTAGCAGCTGCTGCAGCTGGAGAGTCAGGAATTGTTGAAGCTGCCAAGCCTGAAGATGCAAGTAAGTTTTGTCTAGTTAATAACTGCGCTTTGTTTTAAGCTGATGGTGGATGGAAGTAAATAGTTTAAGGTTTGGAATGTTTCATTTCATTTTTTTTTTTCAGCTGCTGGGGAGCCTGCGCTAGTTCCAGTTCAGCCTTCTGGGGATGCCGATTCTCCGCATTCGCGCTCTCGGTCTCGGTCTAATCGCCACGACAAAGAAAAAAAAGAGAAGAGGAAGAAAGGTTCACATTCCAGAGAGCGAAGCAGACGTCGTTCGAAGTCTCGGGAGAGGCGAAAAAGGAGTAGGTCCCGAAGTCATGATAGACGAAGCCGTAGTCGAAGCAGACGTCGTAGAAGTCGTAGCAGAGAAAGAAGAAGCCGTAGTCGTAGTGCAAGAAGCCGTAGTAGAGGAAGACGAAGTCATAGTCATGGTCGCAAAAGCGGAAGACATCATAAAGGTTTTTTGGTGCCCCATAGTTTTGAAATTATTGTTAAGTTAAAGTTTTATGTGCTTAGCTGGTCATATCATTATGCTTCCAGATCGGACTCCGTCTCTTGTTAAAGACCCTATACCTGCAGAAGGCGAGCAAGATCAGGCTTCTTCAGGAGTAATCATCTTTGTTACTTTGATTTACTCCCGAAAATCATTCTGCTTGGCCATCATTTAACTTTTATTTCTGATAATTTCAGGCTGCAAACGCTGCGACGCGTCCGAAAGTTGTTCCCGGTGTTCTTCCGCTGTTGGTTCGCCCTGACATAGGTATTTGTTTCTGTACAGTCCTTTTGGCTGAAGATATAAGTTTTGCAGTTGTATTCGTTTCCACTTATCTATTTTTAGCAGAAACATTAACCAGTGAAAGTACAGAAACCCCTGGTGTTGATCCAGCTTCTGCTGAAAAGAAACCACGAAAGTCAAGGTGGAGTACGACAAAATCTTTTGTGCCAGGGATGCCAACTATTTTGCCTTCAAATTTAAAGGACGAGCAACGTCAAGCTTATTTACGTAAGATTTATTACTTGTATTTCTTGTTTTTTTTTTTTTTTTTTTTTTTTTTTT